CTCGGAGCCCCTTGGTGGACACGGCAGCCCGCGTGTCCGCGTATGTGTTCGTGTCCATGCTCGTGTCCCCTGTGTGTCGATGCCATGTGTACCCGGGGCCCAGTTCCTCATGCACACATGTGCAGCTAGCCGTGTGCAAGCTTGTCCTGTCTCATCGTGCCTCTGTCTGGTTCCTGCCTAGGAGACTGCTGGGCCGGCCACTGGTCATACTGGTACATGTCACCTCCGACCCTGAACACGCATGTCTCTCTCTGGCTGGGGCTCACCTCCAGTCAGTCTCCTGTGTGTAGGGATGTGTGGCTGCATGAGCAGGATTTTCCCTGTCCCTGGTGGCAGGTGTGTGTCTTTGCATGTGTTCCATCATTGGCCTGGGTATCTGTGTCAATCCCAGCACGGGTGTCCAGGGTGTGTCTGGATGTGGGTGGTGTGCAAGTGGGGGAAGGGAGTGAGTGTGTGTGAGTGGGCTTCTTGGCATCCTACTATGTACGAAACACCTTTGAGCTAGGCAGGTGTGAGCCCCTGGTGTGTCTAGGAGTGGGGATTGAAAAGCTGAAAAAGAAAGGAGTGGGGAGAAAGTGGAAAAGTGGGGAGAAGGGAGGTGAAGAGGAATGAGAGAGGCTTGGCTAAGAGGGAAAGAATGGCTGGAGAAAGGGAATGTGGGAGATCTTGGAGCCAGATTTTGGAGAAAAGAGGACAAGAAAGCTTAAGATGGGGAACTGGATGGAGGGAGAAGGGGTCTGGGAGCTGGGGAGGAGGGGCAGGAGGAGGAAAGAGGCCTTTTGGTAAAGCTATCTCTTGAGAGAAGAAAGGGGCAAGATGAGAGAGAGGACACTGGTTCATGTAGGTTGTATAGGATCAGGCTTGGTTGGATGAGAGATGGCCACTCAGGCATAGAGGCTGGCTCACAGTGAGGCCTGTCACTGCAGGTGCTGTCATTAGAGCTTCCTGTCCCCTGCTCAGTTTTGCCCCCCATTTCGCTGCTCTGTCCAGCTCTGTTCCTCATCCTGCTCTGGCAACCTTTCTCCTTGGCTCCCCTCAAGAGTTGCCACCTGGGTAGGACAAGGAAGAAAGGCCAAAGGGAAGGTTAGGGATGTGGGACATTGGAGGGCAGGGAGAGATTCTGTGGGTGATGGCAAGATTAGAGAGATTGGAGAGGCGGGAGTCCAAGCCCTCGCTGTGTATGTGTGAGAGTGCAATTGTGTGTGTACACAGGGTGTGTACATGTGTGGGTGTGTGCACAATGCCTGTGTTACGGGTGTGTGTAGGTGGCTGTTATGTGTGTGCATGCGTGTATACATCGTGCAGGGATGGGACCTGGAGACCCAGGATCGCAGTGTACACTTACCAGGTTTGCTCTGTGTGTGTACACGGGTATGTGCTGTGTTTCCTGTACATGTCATTGCATGCAGCATTAATAGCAGAATGTCCTGTGTTTCTGTCACTTTGTTTCATTTTTCTTTGTGGTTTTCTTTCTTGCGGTAGTGAAAGTCTTTGTAAGCGTATGCGTACGTGGTTTACCCGTACCTGTGACTTATGTGTGAGTTCATAGATCTCAGCTCCTGATAATATGCATGAGGTGATATTACTTCCAAGAACCAAGAGAACCAATTAGCAAATTTGTTCTCTGCCTGTCAATTCTTTAGTTCCAAAGCAAAATTTTAGTGGATTTCAAGTTAGTCTTTGTGCCTTATTAAAGGAGCCTACATATGAAAGTAGTGGCTGAGTTTGGTTCCTTGGAATGGAAGTGAGGCAGCCATACCTGAGAAATGCAGAGACTAGGAAAAAGATACCCTTGGATGCATTGTTGAGTGTGCCCTCAGAAGGATAAATAATGCGTTTGCTCCTTGTTTTTGTTTATTGTGAGAGCAATCACTGATGCCTGTGTTGGAGTCAGGGAAGGGCTGGGGGAGAAGAAGGGGTTGTCCTGAGACAGAGTGGATGTGGTCATACTTCCCATGTGAATGAAGGATGTTTTTGCTTTTGGGGTACCAGGATACCTTGCTGTGGTTGGGATCATGGTATACTCAAGCATGTATCTTAGAGGTTAAACTGACTTCCGTGTGTGTGTGTGTGTGTGTGTGTGTGTGTGTGTGTGTGTGTGAGGGTTAAATGTCTAATTCTGTAATGTGCTGCCCACATGATTCCCAAGGGACTGGGGCCACAGGTCCACACCAGCAGCTCTCATGTGGGTGTCTGGGTCCAAATGTGTACTCCCCTGTTGCAGTGTTCACATATGTCTAAGCATGTATCCCGTGGGGTATGTGGGTCCCAAGGTCTCAGAACGTGGATCTGTGGCACCCCTGTGCTCACAGTTGTGTGTATGTCTCATAAGCACCTAGATCCCTATTTTTTGTATTGTGGTTATATACACGTACCCACACAGCTCAGTGTATGTTTCTGTCCTCTACACACATGTTCCCAAGGGTCTGACAAGGGTTCCTGTGTCATGGTGTCCGCATTTTTGTGGGCAGACTTTCTAACACCTGGGCTTTGGAGGCAAAGGGAAACTGAAGACTGATTCTAGGGTAGATTGCTGGTGATTTGCAATTCTGGAAGCAGACAGTGAAATGTAGCTGTGGCCCTCCCTTGTTCTGGAACCTAGAGGGTTAACAGGCAGCTCTTCCGGTCCCCCCCCCCC